GGTAGCATATACAACTGTCGGAGGCAAGAGGAAAAATTGAGGATCTGTTCAGTAGACAATCATCCGTCCATCTTAGTGAAGTTGGAAGACGACGACGAGCAGGTATGGTTCTCGAATGAGATGGAACTGGTACTTGGGCCAGTGGCGCATTTGATAATCGAGTCGCTAACGGAGAATCGTTTGGAGATTCTCGAGATGGACGACTTGGGCGAGATACCGCAATTGTTCTCCCTCACCCTGAACAGCACAGAAATTCGAGGACCATTTCCTTTTGATAATCATCCATATTTCCACACACTAAAGTTGATCAACAATCAACTTCGAGAGTTCCCTAGGGAGTTCATCGGGGAAATTCCTGATTTGAGACTCTTGACGATTCAAGGACAGCAAATTGAAGAGGTACACAATTATTCAGTTTCAATTGTCCCACCACATCTGGGGACTTTCAATTTCCAGGATAATGAGCTAAAAGTTATTGGACCCGATGCTTTTTATGAGTTTATAAACCTGCACACTCTGAATTTGACGAGCAACAAGTTGGAGAGGTTGACGAATGGTATGTTCCGTGGTCTCGGTAATTTGCAGACTCTCTGGTTGAAAAATAACTGCATAAATACAATTGATCCTGAGACTTTCATAGACCTTACAAGCTTGCAAGTCTTGAACGTCGATGACAACAAGTTGGAGCGGTTGGCGGCTAACATGTTCCATGGTCTCGGTGATTTGGAGATTCTCTCGTTGAACAATAACTGCATAAATACAATTGATCCTGAGACTTTCTTAGACCTTACAAAGTTGAAAGTCTTGAACGTCGATGACAACCAGTTGTCGAGGTTGACGGCTGACATGTTCCATGGTCTCGGTGATTTGGGGACTCTCTCATTGAAAAATAACAGCATAAATACAATTGATTATAATACTTTCTCAGACCTCAGAAAGTTGCAAATCTTGAACGTTGATGACAACAACTTGGACAACTTTATGTCTGAAATGTACAAATATATCCGCCAATGGATGATTGCTCAATTGAATTCCAATGGAACAGAACTATCAGTACAGGAACTTTGGAATCGATTTTTAAGAGCACTCATGGAGGCTAAACCAAAAGGGAACGTAACGAATCATCTCATCAACATATCAAAAACTCTATGATTTTTATGGCACTGACTAATTTGTTTTGCTTC